ATATCACATATGTGAATGGCCAATTCAAACAATATAATTATAATCTAATTACCACAAAGTTGAATTGCTGCATGGAATATCCCATTGTAAAATAATCCAACATTTTCATTCAAAATACTACAAAGTTGTGTAATGGATGAGGAAAGATCGAAGACAAGAGAGAGTGGAGTAAGTGATGTGGTTTATTTCCCTTTTTTGTTAGGTTGATCAAAAGATTTATACATCTGAATGAATGGGCATTTGTCATTTTATGATTTGGGAGAAGCACCATGTCATAATACGAGATGATGAGAGCATGGAAGAGTTTATCCTTGTCTGGAGATAATCTTTTTATTTCCCTCTTCTACCCTACCACCTTACCCTAGACATGGCTCTAATCTATTTTTTTTAAAAGGGTGCTTATATAAATATTGTATTATTGAGATCTTATCTGTATAGTTCATTGTATAACATTCGATCAAAATTCTTTTGGTACCATGTAGTGATAGAACTACGTACTTATTTAGGGTTTACTAAAGGGTACATGTTCATAGGGAGAGAACAAATTAAAATCTCTAATACCAGGTAGTAATGGAAATTACTCATTTAGGCTTTACCTAAACTGATGTAAGTGGAAACATAGTCTACTATTCCCCGAACTCAGTCTAATATTCAATAAAGTTGAGATCTCTTATATCAATTGCTCAACGATCTGGAAATTAAGATAACATTTTATTTATTTAGTATCTTCTAATTGTTTTTATTGAAATTTCATTCCTCCATGATGACAATTTCAACTTGCCTTGTTGGAAATTACTCGACTTGACTAGTATTGGGGCGAACAATATCAGATTTGCAGTAGTACGAGGCAGAGAATGGGTATACGTATTATTTTCACCTTGCCTTACCTCGTCCCGTCCCAATCTATTCTTAATTCGTTCTACCTCATTTTGTCCCAATACATGTTTTCATTTCTCCTCCTACTTTACTTAACTTATATTTCATTCAATAATATTTTATATAAATGCAAGACTTCTTCAAATAATATATATGAATGAGTTGACCTTCTCCAATCCTTACCCATGCAACTATTACCCAACATGTCTCGCTCTTAGTGTGGGTCGGGTATTGAGGTATCTGTACGTCCGCCCCAACACCATCACTATATACATGTAACCAGTGGCAGATCTATAAATTTTACTTAGTGGGTGTCCTTTTCTAAAATTAAATTAAAATATGAATAAAATTAGAAATATATGACTAGTACGTTACAACAAAATTCCACGACGTGTTTTCATATTATGGGAAAAAATTGTTAATACACTCGGTCTTTACATTGCTCAATAAATCTTTTTCAATATATACCATTAGAAATTATTAATAAACTGACCATCTAGTTGATTCTGAAACTTATTATTAATGTAGTCCAAAGCTCAAAAAAACTCTTCTAGTACTTATAGTTGCAACCGCTAAAATCAATACAAGTTTGAGAATCAAATAGACCGATCGAGTATGATGAATTCACTTTTGGTGACTCATTAACGGTCAATAATGACCATCATCAAGTTGACGGTCAACCCACGGGTCAAGATCTTAGTAGTCAAAATAAGCGTGAATTTTGGACAGGATAGAGAATTTTAGAAAATTCGGGCCAATATTGTCCATTAGTATAAAGTTCAGATAATGTATTAACCTTATTAAATAAGTAAAAGTCCCTTAAATTCTAGAAGATTGCCGAAAGCTGAGCATAAAGGCAACGGTCTAATCGGTTCAAATTTGGCTAACCACTAAACACAAATGCATACAAAAAATCAAATCGATAAGACTTATCTATTAAGCACCTATTAGCGATTCAGTTAGTGATTAGTTTGGATGTTAACCACTAACCAATAACAAACTCCCTGTGTGGTATTTTCTTTTGTTAATTTGAAATTTTGTATGGTGCCCTTTTTAACACTACAATATAATCACAAAAATAATTCAAAACAATTTAGCTTAACATTGTTAACATAATTTAATAATAATAACAAATAACATCAATAGAAAATTCAAATTCCAACATATAAAATTACAAATAGTTAATAGTCTTCATCCAATCAACCACTACCAACTAGCAAGACATTAAATAAAAACACCCAAGATCATCATTATTCAAAATATCAAATAAAATAAAAATTATTAGGGCGCGAGGTTCACTTCGTCGCTTGCAAAGGAGAATCGGAGAGGGGTGACTTTTTGGGTTTTGACTTTTAAACATATTTGAGACTTTGGGTGGAGGGTCATTTGTAGTAGGTGTAAAATTGAGAAGTTTCAAATTGCGACTTTGACTGGTTTTGATTCTTGCAACTTTTCCCCTTAGTCAAAGCAAAAAACTATATGATTATACTATTAAGCGATTATCATATAACCACTAAGCTAAACACATATAATCTAAATCAACCACTAAATTTTTTTCGATTATCAATTAATCACTTATCAGTTCGGTTATCGATTAAAATTGATAACCAACCAGCCATTTACTACCACTACTACGGCCGAGTGAAGATCTAGTGACTAGGGGGGTGCTTAATTAGTCAGTTGGCTAAACCCCTCTCGGCCCTTAGATCTGGACACACCAATCTTACGGTTAAAAAGTGAGAAGGGCTTTTTAATTAATGATAGGGGTAGTTTGGGTATTATGAAAAATTACGAAGTATACAAACCGGACTTACAAACAGTACAAATTATACAAACAATACAAACTAGAGCGACAAAACATACAAACAGATTTACAAACAAGACAAACATACAAACTATACAAACTAAAATGATAAACAATACGAACCATAAAAATAGAAAAATAACCGGGTTGACTTTGGATGCTCCATCTCTATATAGAGGGTTTCGTCCCAAAGTCAACCCGGTTATTTTTTAGACATACAAACATGGGTGACAAAAATGACAAACTAGACTGACAAATCATACAAAATGGAAAAACACCCGGGTTGACTTTGGAGGCTCCATCTCTATATAGAGGAGTCACGTCCAAAAGTCAACCGGGTTGTTTTTATACGTAAAAAATATTACAAACATGGTGGACAAAAATAACAAAACTTACAAACATTACAAAAATAACCGACAAACATTACAAAGATAACAAAGCTTACAAACATTACAAAACAAACCGACAAACATTACAAAACATACTAACAGTACAAAATGTCATTACTTACAATACAAAACAGTAAACTTCTATTACAAAACAATGAATATAAAGTATACAAACTAGACAAACACACATTACAAATAACAATACTAACGCTATCGCAGAAAAATTCCCCATCGTCGGAAAATTCTTGCCGGCAGCAGAATATCATCAGCTCTCTCTCTCTCTTTCGTACCCGCTGGGAAAAATCCCCAGGAAAGGAAGAACGGGAAAATGGCCGCCAGAAGGCCACGGCAAAAATAATCCCGGTGAGGGGCAGGAGATACCCACAATGGGTGCTGCAATTTTTTTATTTTGATTGTTAAATAAATAAAATGTTTAATTATCATGTTATCCTTTATTAAACTGGATAAATTAGAACCATTAGATTTTAATGAGGTTGGAGGATTGAAATTAGCTTAGTCATGTGACTAGTCACCTCATCTAGGGATGGCAGGTCGGGGCCTAATAGCGGATATCCGCCCGAAGCCTGCCCGATAAGGGCCCAGGTGGGTTGTGGTTTCTGGCCCATCAACAGGTGGCGGGTAACCCTGGACCCGTCAACCATGGTTTTCGGGCGGTTGTGGTTAGTCCAGTATCCGCCCCGCGACCCGCCCAACGGGTTATCCATGTACAAAAACGACGGCGTTTAGAGGGTCATATATATTCTTCGCTTTCCCTTCTAGAAACCCTAGCAGCCGCCTCCGATTTCATTCTTCACCAAACGATCCAAAAAACAGAAACCCTAGTTTTCTTCTTTTTCTTTGCCTCCTTTCTGGCGATTAGCGATCAGATCGCTAGATAATCGCGATTTGGCCGATTTTTTGCCTTTTCCCCTCATCAATTCCTCCATTCGACCAATTGCATGGCTGGAAGAGCAACCATCCGACGAAGATTTCGTCGACCGCAGTCCAAAAACGAGTGATTGGAAGTTCAAATCGCTGATTCTTCGAGAAGAGATAAGTTAATTCTGGGTTTCTTATCTTTTCTTTCAAGTAACTTCCCTGATTCCCCATTCCCCAAACTCTCTACTGACTCTTCTTGTACTGGTATATATAGGGGGGATTCAGAGGGCAGAGGTTGTTTCTCACCACGCCATCTTCTGAAATCGAGAACAAAAACACCCCAGTCCACAGAGGGCAGAGACCGAGGGATTTTGCCGAGCCTCCAGACAGAGTCCAGTCGTCGAGGGTAAGGTTCTTGATCTCGTCTATACTTTTTATGGGTTAGTGGTATCAATACATACATTCATGCATTAAATTCCAGTTCTAACTTGCTTTGTGTTCTTTGTTCACTCTTTTTTGGGCTAGGTTGGTCTCGTTTGGATCGGGTTTCGAGAACTGAAGCAGAACAGAGTCAGTGATCACTGAGCAGTGAGGATCAGTCTACTGTCATTGGGTACTCGACAGTCCGCAGAAAACTCCAATCCGAGAAGGTAATCTCGTCCTCCTCTCCTAAGCCTCAACTCACTGTGTTTGTTCATAATACTGCGACTTGTTGTGATAATCAGTGGATTCATAATGCTAATAAGTAAAAAGAATTAAACTGTAATCGTGATTTTGCTGCAAAAGATGTTTGTTTGCAAGTTTAGTCTTGTCATTGTGAATGTAACTAAGTTAATAACTAAGGCTTAATTAGTAACACATAAATTTATTATGTTCAGATGGAAGGTGCGCTTACTGCTATAAATGTTGACCTTGCTCCCAATGTGAATGTCCCTGAAAATGGTGTCCAACCTCAACCTGAACAACCTGGTAATGTTGAGGAGCTTGAAGCTCAACGTAAGTTAATCTCTGATGTGTGGCCTCACTTCAACCGAGTTAGGGTTAATGGGGTTATGAAGGCTAGGTGTAAGTACTGTCGTAAATCCCTTGGTGGGGAAACAAGTAATGGAACTTCACACCTAAGAAGCCATATCAAAACATGTATCCAAAAGAGGATACATGATGGTTCTCAAAAAATACTTGGCCCTAACTATCAACCTGCTGGAAATCCTCAACTCTCTGCTTCTCAATACAATTATGAGGTTTCTAGGAAGGAACTTTGTTCAATGATTCTGGTCCATGAGTACCCCCCTTAGCCTTGTTGATCATGTGGGTTTCAAACGTTTTTGCTGCTCTCTTCAACCTCAATTTGCTGTCCCTAGTAGAAACACGGTGAAAAAGGATATTCTGGGTCTGTTTGGGGTTGAAAGGTCTAAATATCAAACAATGATCGTTGAAAAAACTGGTACTTGATTGTCCAACTAGATGGAATTCCACATACCATATGCTCTCTGTTGCTCTTCAATATAAGGATGTTTTCTTTCGGTTGAGCTTGAGGGACAGTCAATACACATCTGTTCCTTCTAGTTCTCATTGGGAATTTGCATCTGTTGTGATTGATAAGCTGGAAATATTCTTTGAGATAACTGAGTTATTCTCTGGTTCCAAGTATCTGACTGCCAATCTTTTCTTCCCAAAGATTTGTGACTTGAGACTGAAACTGAATGAGTGGGGTCTTGATCCCAACCCTGTGATTTTGGAATGGCAGTCAAATGTCTGAGAAGTTTGAGAAGTACTAGGATGATATCCATCTTGTACTTGCTGTCTCGGTTGTTTTAGATCCTAGATATAAGCTCCATGTGATTGAATACTATGCTGGAAAGTTTGGGAATACGAAAACTGATTTGGTTGCTGAGAATATCAAGAAGATTATTTGTGGTTTGATTATTGATTATCAAACCAAGGCCGATAAGAAGTCTGGGTCTGAAACTGGAACTTCTTCTGCTAGTTCTGGTTCTGTCTCAACTACTGAACTTGACTTTGACCTCTTTGTAAGTCAAAGGAAAAAGAGAAAAAGTTCTTTGGTTACTACTGAGTTGGATATGTATCTTGTTGAGGATATAATTCCTCGGACAGACTTTGATATGCTCTTGTGGTGGAAACTGAATGGTCTCAAGTATCCAACCTTGCAAGCAATTGCAAGGGACTTTTTGGCAATCCCAATTACATCAGTTGCTTCTGAAAGTGCATTCAGTTCTGGTGGGAGGTTGTTAGACCCTCACCGGAGCAGGCTTCATTACTCGACTGTTGAATCAATGATGTGCACACGAAGCTGGATAATGGAAGACATGCAAAGAGGTAACATGCAACTAAACCTCCAAATTCTGGTACAAGTAATTTTGTTTAAGTGTAAATAATAATGTTTCATTTTTTATCTGCAGATTCGGAGGCTGCTGCTGCTGTGGAGGCATTGAAGGGAGTCTTCTTAGCCCTGTTAGTTGACGATACGACTGTGGAGGAGGCAGAACCTGGGGGTAAGAAAAGCCTTTCTCCTTTTCTAAATTTTCTAACTCTGTTCAAGTGTTCGTTGAGATTTGAGGCTCGACATAATGATTTACAACCTGTTTTTCAGGTCCTGAAATGGTGTTCTTGAAATCGCCATTTGGCCAGGAAGACTGATCCATTTGCATCTGTCGAGCCAAGTATAACTTAAAATCATCTTCTCTTGTCACAAGAACCTCGAGGTTGTTAATTGTTAGGCGTAGGAACTTAAGAATGATTACTTGAATGTTTGTGCAGACTTGCATTTGATGAATGTTGACTGCTGCTACTTGCTTTGGAATAAGACTCAGCAGAAGTTAGGGATCCTTTAAGCTGCTGGCTGCATCTTGCTCGAAGGAAGGTTGCTGTTACGTTTGCTCTCAACTGTTAGGATGGCTTGGAGATTGTTCTACCTTAGTCAGCTAGTTGTTCTTGCTTTTGAGTTTTGAATAAGACTCGACAGTCATGGTGCTGAGAGTTGATGTTTTTTATTGGGTTAATACCTTAGTTTGGCTCGAACTATACACATACTTTCTACTTTGGCCCGTGGTATTGGAAATTGCTATTCTGGCCTGAACTATGTAGCAAACTTCCTCATTTGGCCCGGAGGCGGGTTTGACCGTTAAATTAGACGGTCAAACTTGTTGACCGTTAGTCAATGTCCACCTCACCTGCCACGTCAGCTTTGAGGACATAAAATATTTTTTTTATTTCTGAATTTTGTTTTCTTGTCATTTGCTAAAAAATGGGCCATTTTTCGTTCTTTTAATTAATTTTTTTGATTTATTATTTTAATTAATTGAAGGAAAACAAAATTCAAAAATACAAATAATAATTTTTTATGTCCTCAAAGCTGACGTGGCAGATGAGGTGGACATTGACTAACGGTCAACAGGTTTGACCGTCTAATTTGACGGTCAAACCCGCCTCCGAGCCAAATGAGGAAGTTTGCTACATAGTTCAGGCCAGAATAGCAATTTTCAATACCACGGGCCAAAGTAGAAAGTATGTGTATAGTTCAGGCCAAACTAAGGTATTAACCCTTTTTTATTTATTTCAAGTTCGGATGATTTCAAGTTGCTGTTGATTGCAACTTTGGTGAGTTTGTGAGATTTTGTTGCTGATAGTTTCAGAAATAAGAGTTTCAGACTATCATTTATTCTGAATATAAGTATTATTTTCATGTTTTTTCATATATTATTTTTTTTTAAATTGTATTGAAGCGGGTATATTCGACCCGCGGACACCCGAAAACCCAGCAGTCATGGGGTTGGTACCATTACCAGACTCGTTTCACCGTTTGGGCCGAGGACGGGGAAACCCGAAGTCCATAATAGACGGGGCCGGATACAGGACACCCGGACCTGATCCGCCCCGTTGCCATCCCTAAGTCCTCATCTTAACCCACTACGGCCTGCCCGGATCATTCTGTGCTTCGTTCACAGATGGGCCATAAAATTCTCAAGGAACGTAATTGGTACATATCTACATACAGAGTAGGACGTAAGCCCAGTATATGGTTTTACGAGGCCAACCCAACCAAAAAGCCGTCGGTCCTACCCACGTTCCCTCCCTAACCCCGACTCCACTTCTAAACCCAAGTATGCAGAAACTTGGAGTTCCGTCGTGGACCCATGGCGATGGCAGCCTCGCCGTACTTCCGCCGCCCCAACTCCTCCCCGTTCTCAACAAACACCCGCCGCTCCCGCTCGAAATCCGCCTAACAAGGCGAAAAATCCGCCAGCCCAGTTCCTCCTCTCTGCTGCAGAAGAAAACGAAAGCAGCCATCTCCACCCTTTTTCTGCTTATTTATGGCGGCGGCGGCGGCGACGACGACGAATTCCCAGCTCCACAACCCGAGCCGTTCTCCTCTGCCCATCCCCTCCTCCAAATGCTCACATTTCTCTTCTTCTCTTCTCCTCGAACTCCAAGTCAAGCCGTATCGGACCAATTCGATTCCGTCTTTGACGAGCAATTGCAGGTCTAGCCGCGTTTATTGCGAAATCAAGAGCTTTGAGAGCCACCAAAACTACCACCAACAGAGTTTGACCGTCGGGTTTTTATCCGGCTCCGGTCAGTTACACTCAATCCAGAGCTCTTCACCTCCTTCCTCCGTTCCAATGGCTGCCACTGCGTCCTCGGATTCCGGGTCCAAAGGCGTCAAGCGGATCTGCCTCTTCTACTGTGACGAGACCAAGGCGCTGGCTGAGCGAATTGCTGCTCGGTCGGACGCTATCGAGCTTCGTTCCATCAACTGGAAGTGAGTACTCTGTTCTTCTATCAGTTCTCCCGTCAATTTTAGTGGGTAGCTTCAATTCTGGGGAAAAAAGGTTCGAATTTGGTAATTTGTGCCTGTGTCTGTGGTAATAGAATAATGGTAAGTCGTTGATTACTACATTTCTAGCGGCATTGCTACATTTCCTTCAAGCATTTGGTAGATTCTCTTGTGTTTGTTTGTTCTGAATTCGACAAAAACAAAAATGGTGGGTGTTTGATAGGACATTTGATGATGGGTTCCCAAACTTGTTCATACCAAACGCTCAAGGGATTCGGGGCCAGCATGTTGCTTTCTTGGCATCATTTAGCTCGCCGAAGGTGATATTTGAGCAGCTATCAATCATCTATGCACTTCCCAAGCTTTTCATCTCTTCCTTCACTCTCGTCCTGCCCTTTTTCCCAACTGGCACATCCGAGCGTATGGAGGATGAAGGAGACGTTGCCACAGCTTTCACTCTTGCTAGGATCTTGTCCAATATACCAACTTCAAGAGGAGGGCCTACTAGCTTGGTGACTTTCGATATCCATGCCTTGCAGGTCTGTCTGCTTCGAGTGTTTGCCTCGTGGGTTTTGCTTGGCTTGTATGGAAGTCATCGACTTTTCTTTGAATTATTACTGATTTGAATATATATGTTCAGGAGAGGTTTTATTTCGGGGATAACATTCTGCCGTGCTTCGAAAGTGGGATACCTTTGCTTATGAATAGGCTGCAACAGCTTCCAGATTCTCATAATGTAAGATTGTGAAGATGGGCTACACTCCTGTTAAATATTGACAGCAGAAACCGACTTGGTCGATGAGTTGATGAATCCTTATTATCTTTCAGATAGCAATAGCTTTCCCTGATGATGGAGCGTGGAAAAGGTTTCATAAACAACTGCAGCATTTCCCCACGGTACTATGGATGACTACTTCCAGGGACTCTAAATCTTCTGCTCTATGTTCGTGTAGTTTGTTTGCCGACCCTAAAAACTTTTGTCTGCGATTTTCAGATTGTGTGCGCCAAGGTTCGTGAAGGTGAACAGAGAATCGTGCGTATCAAGGAAGGAGACCCTCAAGGACGGCATGTAGTTATTGTTGATGATCTGGTTCAGTCAGGTGGCACCTTGATTGAATGTCAGGTAAAAGTCACAGCCAACCTTTTTGATCAAGCATTATTAGATGAGTTTCAATGGAAGTTTCTGTATGCTTTACCTGGATCAAGTAAACAAAGAAAGCTCTGGTGCACTTACTGACAAAAAAAAAAAAAAAAAAAATTGTGCTCCAACCAGAAAGTGCTGGCCAAACATGGAGCATCAAGAGTAAGCGCTTATGTTACGCACGGTATTTTCCCTAATCAGTCGTGGGAACGCTTTCAGTTCGACAGTGCAGGTATGATCTAGTGCCTGACTGCTTGTGGTATCATACTGGTCTGGTTCTACTGGTTAGACTGCAGACCAGCGACCCAGTTGGTATGGTTTTATAAAGATTCTTTTTGATGCTATTACTACTGGTGCATCTGTCTTTTTAATGGCGGTTCTTGTATCGTAACAGGTAATCCAGCTACCGGACTGAGCTATTTCTGGATCACTGATTCATGTCCATCGACAGTAAATGCAGTGATGAAAAGACAACCGTTTGAGGTTCTTAGCCTGGCTAGTTCGATAGCAGCAGCCCTTCAGATCTGACCCTAATGTTTAAAAGCTTTTCCAACATCGTCTATATATGAGGCTTTTGTTTCTTGTTTGCCATGAAGTTTTTGGTTCTTTTTTCTTCTTCAACAGCGTATGAGTGTATGTCAATAAGAGGTACAAGAAAAAAAATAAATGTTTGCCTTAAATATTTCTCATGTATAATGATTAATGAATAATAGGAGTGCAATGAATAAAAGCTGGAAGAACTTTATAAACATCTATTTGCTCCAAACTTCGATGTTCTTGTGATTCTACGAAAATGTTCTATAAATTGCATGTAACTGTGGATTTTCCCTTTCAAACTCTGATCTAGGACGAGAAAGAAGGTAATATGTTACACCGGTCGAAAGGCTAATGAAAGAGCTCATTCACTTCATCTTATTACTGGCCTTGATATAATTTAGGAACCTTTTGAGCGCTCGACCACTATCGATGGCTTCTCTGGCCCTATCTAGGGCTGAATGTACATCTTCTGCACCATCACATCCCAGCAAGTGATCGATCATTCCTGCATTTAGTACGATACGATCATATGCAGGTCCCTTTTGGCCATGAAGAGCTGCCAGACCCAGCTCTATGTTCTTGGAAACCTAATCAAAGAAAGCAAATGCACGACCACTTGAGATAAGTTTGAACTCCATGAGTTGCTTGGGAACCGAAATAATTAATCATCTAGGGAGGAGAAATTCATTACTGATCTATCTGTTCTTGGAGTATCGGTGGATTGAAAGCCATAATCCTTGGCGTCGACCACAATGCTGAAGCTCTGACGTGAGACACCTGCCAGGGAGAATAACGTGGCGAATGAACAAAACCTATGGCAAGAGGCTCGTTTGAAAGGAAAGTTCCAGGAGATGGATCAAGATTCAAGACAAAAGAGGCAAACCGTCGACTTCAAGAGCAGATGCTGTAGTAGATGAGCGAAATCCTGAGCAGTAGTTGACTGGAAGTCCTTTTGAGGCATTTCCTGACTTCAGTCTTGTTGTCATAGAGAGTGCGCCTTCCTCTCCCTATATTAGCACAGGAGTTTACATATCCGTTACATGGTATACATTTCAAAACTCCCCACTGCTTAGACACCATTTCCACAATAAGGAAAGAACAAGTCAATAAACAGTAGAGTCAACGACTTTTAACCTTCACCACCAAACCGGAATGTACACCTCTTCTTCTCATAAGCATCAAAAGCGGCTCCTCATAGCCTTCATGATAGAATCCAGCAACAACTGCTTCTCTTCCGCTGGCCTGCACGGATTACGCAAAAGAGTTCACTGCATTGCATCTATAGCTGGTGCACGAATACAAAATGGACTACAGATGACAAAACTAGAGTTGCTTAAGAACGTATATTGCCAAGAACAATGAATATGAATATGTCAGCACAACAAAAACAGTGAATATAATATGGCTCACCCTTACTAATTGTTGAACCTTTTCTGTGGTTGCCAGCGGGGGACGCTTCTTTATGTGCTCCCTCACCTGAATTAATGAATATCTGCAAGAGGGAGCAATACAAAAGGTCACTGCGGGTTTTTGTCCCAGCAACCTGCAGTATAGGGCCTTCTCTATGGGAGTGAGAAGAACAAGCATAAACAAAGGAAAAGGTTCAAAACAAATACTCAGTTAAATTCCGTACAGGGATGGGCGAGCCTCACGCTGACTTAAGTAGGCAAAACCAAGATCCTTATCCTGAATGAAAACCATGGAAGTTAGAATATAAGTGGTACAACAAACTAAAAACAAAACAGACTGATCTAACGGACAAATCAGGAATAACAAAAACAGCAGTTGAAATGTTGTCACAACAGGCATTACATATGGGTGCAGAAATAAAGGAATGATCATTGTTCTTGTTGCTATTTGAGCATTACATCTACCTCAAGAAGATCTTTGGCCTGCAACGGGGTGAGGTGTGTATTTGCACCCATGAACTTCAGCATTTGTTCTTCAGTTATGCCTCCCTATGGCAAAATGTAAAGCCACCATTTCCATCTTAGATAAGTAAAGTCTAAATTCAGTATTCGAGGATTATTCAAAAGTGAAGTTCAGATATTTGTAATCATATGGTGCCCTAATCACCAAGAAGGCAATTTGCGGGGGGATTTTTTTTTTGCTACCTCCTGAAACAAATCAACAATTTACTATACCAAGGATTTCTTAATGACAATCTTTTAGAATCAAGCAAGGCTACTTATTACAAAAAAGCTAAGGCTACTTATTACAAAAAAGCTAAGGCTACATACCTTAGGTGGCATCCAGTCCACACCATGAAGCAATGAAGATTCACCGTAACAGGATCTAATAGCAGCAACAAACAACGTGCTCCGGAAGAAACGTGTGTTTCCATCATAAGGTTCACCATAATGGGTCAATGATCTAACATCAGCAACTGGAGGAGGACCTAATACCCAACTGATAGTAGAATCAGGCAACCAAGGCCACATGGCTAATTGGAAAATCTTGCATGAATGATAACTCTAAAAGGAGTGTCAGACAATAGAATGCTTACCCAGTTCATCATCAAAAGCAAGACAATATGCTTTCAATTCACGATCTGTCTCCCTGTTCACCCGCTGACCAATTAGGAATGCCGAAACCAACGACTCTTTCGAACTGTCTTTGCCATCTTCTTCAACATTTAAGGGAAGAACATCTCTCAGCACACCTTGGACCTCCTCGTACCCGAGATGGCCCCCAGCTAATACCTCCCTAAGTGCACCAACCAATCTCATCTCAGTCGTATCATTGCCAACAAACTGCGGCCCTATCGAACTCCCCATTATAGAGCCCTCAGGATCAGCAATGAAGACCACATCAGGTGGTAAAGCTCGGACCAGCTGGGGCCAAAACGTGCCAATTGCACGCTTTTCTCCTTCACTCCACTGAGTAGCTTCAGGGAAGGCATTCGCACGTATCGTCATTCCAGCAAAGAAAGCCCCTAGCTGTGCTCTGGAAACTCTGTCTTCGTCTTTGAGCTCACCCCTCACTAACCATAATACAACAGAACACCGAAATTGAGCAACAATGGAGAAAATTTTTGCAGCACGTTTAAATTCGGATAGAGAAGTGGGACTAACCTGATCTTAAAATGGTATCGAAAACTTTGAAAGCTTGCTCCTCGCTAAGCGGCTTCGTCATTTCAGGTCCGGTGCAAACCCTAGCTTGCGCTTCCAGCACAGTCAGATTCGGCTTCGGCAACTTCGAACTCCGATACGTCGAAGAAACCGCGGGATTCCTAATCTCGGATTCCGTCATTCCTAATTGATCCAGCGTCGCCGAGTCTATAACAGCTTTCACAGCCGGCAGGCGAGCTCGGGCGATCCAACGACCTCCAATTTCAGCGGGAAATCGCAGAGAGCTTCGAATATTCAAACGGTTGAGGAGGCAAGGTACAGCGATCCGAATCGAGAGAGAAGGCTCCGGACATAGCAGAACTTCCATGGCGGTCTCTGATTCTACTGAACGGAGCAAACAAGGATGAATCCGAGGCTCTGCTTCACTGCTTCAATCTTTTTGCCCGTTTACTTTGCCAATATGAAATTCTCCGCCGGGGAAAGGGAAAGCTAGTCGGTCACTGGACGGTGAATTGCACTCACCAGACGGCGCGTCCTTATCTTTATGGCGATTGGGGAACGATGAGTGGGACCAGCAAAATGGCGAGTCAAACCTTGATAGTTGTGAAATTGGCATTGGATGGATAAGGCGACGGTGAGATGGGCCTTTGGATCCAATATCTAAGACTGGGCGGAGGCCCAACATTCCTTCCAATTTAGGCCCGGCTCATTTCAGGACTATAAAAACGATCCAAAGCGAACGTTTCAAAATCCATTTGTATTTTTCAAGTTTTGGGGGAGAAGAAGAAAGATTTTGAAACTATGGCGGGATCCATGGCGGTGGTGTTGCACCAGAGCGAGGAGGCGGAGAGATCGGATTCTTCCGTCCCCGGAGAGCGATGGCAAGTCTCGTTCGCTCGCTTCCTCCATTTCCCTACTATTCTCGGTAGCTTGCATCCTTGTCTTGTTCAAGTGAAGAGGCATGCCGCCAATCCCGGCACCTGGATCTCTTCTTCTTCTCCAACTGCTACTCTGCAACTCGTCTACGATGATTCCTGCTCCGATGCCATTCTCTCCGTCTATCTCCAAGGAAGATTAGTTGTGAGTATTGTGATCGATTGTGCTTGAATTTGATATTCTTTGCGTTTTGGAAGTCCTCGTATGCTGTTTGTATCAACTGGCGATGATGAGAGTCTGGGATTTCTTATGGTTTTGATTCCGATGGTGAACTGAAATTTGAATTTCCATCTGATTCTATCGCTTGAGCGCATTCTAGACTACTTCAGTTGCTTCCTATCAGTATTGTGTGGTTTAGAGCACCTTCCCGTGTGCTGTTTGGTTCCCGAGAAAACATTTAGCTGCAATCGTCTTCTTCTCCTGTGTGATGGTTTGGTTTCTTGTTCATGATTGTTTCTAATTTGATAGACAGATACAAATTCAGTAGCTCAACTGTTTCCACAATTTCCCAGGGCAAAATTCACGATTAGGCTTCCTTACCTCACAATTTCGATGATGAACTGAAATTTGAATTTCATCTGATTCAATTTCGATCCATATTCTTGTGTCGTTTATATGATTCAATCGCCTATTGACCTTTCCCTGTGTTGTTTGTTTGGTTCCTGAGAAAACGTTGAGCTGACTCTGGATTTCCTCTTCCAACTACATGCCTAACTTTGTTTCGCGCAAAATCCACGATTAGACTAGCTGATCTAGTAATTTCAGCTCCTTTTCATGAAAGACTGCTAGTATTCAAATTGTTTCAGATTTCCTTAATCACTTACTCTACAGATCGGTCCCTTGTGTTTTAGTGAGACTGATTACAATAATCTATGAATCGATTTCAGGAGGAGCACTACGTTTCGAAGCTGTATTTTTCCTGGCCTCAGGTGTGCTGCGTCAATGGATATCCTTCCAGGGGTACCAGAGCTGTGTTTGCTAGTTTCAAAGACTCTGCTGGTTTGGTAAGTCACCGGACATTTGAATCGACTGTTGCTGTGATCATTTCCATAAGATATGATCGAGAAAGTAACTGCATCGACACCTGTTAATTTTCGCTGCAGATCCAGAAATTCGCTCTGCAGTTCTTAACTACCAGTGAATCTGAGACATTCATCGGTTGTTTGAAGGTGTTAGACCATTATAATTTTGGCTTGGTTCTCAGCTTCGAGATATGTTCAATCGCCATTCATGATTGATTGATTGTCCTGCTGATGTTTGGACATTTCATTTTGGCAGGACATACTTGAGGATCCTCCATCTGCTGCTACTGAGCCATCAATTAGCGATTTAAGGCCAGAATCTTCAACACATTCAGCTGGTCTGTCAACTGCAATGCCAGTATCCAGGTAATTTCAGCACAAATTCACAAGGAATGATCGGTGCAATGTCTTGTGAGATTTATTTCTGATTCTGAATGACATGTTGCTACTTGCAGGGATTGCATGGAGGAATCAAGTGCCATGTCATTGTCACCCACCTACACTTATTCGCCTGAGCTTCCCTTGAACATAACTAATGCTGCAGAAGATCCAATATTGTCCGAAAACAGTAACAACAACACCAGTAGTAGTACCTTTATGCCTCCCAGCTTTACATCTTTGCTGAGCAACTGCTGCTCTGAGACTAAACAAGGTTGATATGCTGCCGCATTTTGCTGTTTCCACCGAGGGTGTTACTAGGGTTTTTGTCCCAATTTCTGAACTGTTTATGATGGTTGGCATCCGCAGCTGCAGGAGACACAAATGTAGCTGATGCCGATGGTGATCTCAAATCACAAATTGCGGTAAAGTTTGTGTGTTTACCCCCACTGCCCTACTATATATATATGCTTTCTGGTAATGTTAGAGGCATATAGTCTAATTATCAGTCGTCCATTTTTGTTGCAGAAATACATGGAAGACTCCTCGTTCCAAGGTTAACCTTAGTTCCTCTAGTATACACATCGATTTCTTACTCTTAAGTGCCTGTTGAATGTCTCTGGTTTGATAGCTAGCTTCTTCTGACCGTTGAATGGGTTTTTGCAGATATGTTGTTCAAAGTGGGGAAGGTTATTGGCGAAATTGGATACGACCTCGTTCTTTGATCCATCCATCCATCCACCCATCCCTCTCTTGACATGGCTTATATCTCTCAGACTTCTCCATTTCTGCAATCAGCAACTGGTAAACTATAAACATAAAAGAATTTCTCATTCTTTTTGGAAGGGGCAATCAACCAAACCTTTTGTCTCAAGTTTTAGAAGAAACCTACAAAAATCATGACCCAGTAGAGTCAAACCACTATTCATGTATACATACAACAGTCAATAGGCATGTCACTGTCCCCTTCATGTGTCGTCTTATTGTGCATGATGCATTGACCATCTCAGCACCCGGTTTTGGGTGTAATTGATTAGTGCTTATGCTGCTTTACTATATGAATAATTGCTTCTTATGTCTATGGCAATGTTTCATAATTAGTACTTTTAGAAGTCGGTCGGGGTCGGAAATATTGGGATATTGAATTCCACATGGTAGATGATTTTAACGTTACGAAACAATTGAACTATTACCTTATTAATAATTTTTTCGATATAACTTTCCATACAATTTCACAATAATTGTTATCTAGATATTTACAAAGTGCCTTGGATGACAGTAGATTGGTTTTGTTTTCTTCACCACCAGCTTGAACAGATGTTTTTTTTTTTGGCGGAATATGTTAATTAACAAGAAAAGGGCATTCATCGGCCAACTGCTTTGTACGTGAACATCGATAGCCAAGAAGAAGTTGCATTATTTCCATCGCCGGAAATCAATAGCACATCCCTATTTATAATTAGTCTCCATCGTCCATCTGTAATTAATTAATAATCAATCAAGTAATCCCTGCTTCAAACATCATGGCTACATTGCACTGTTTCCACCGCCGCCCGATCATCCTGGTCGCCATCCTCACCGCCGCCTTTGCCGCCGCCATCGAAGCACAGCCGAACCCGAACATGGTCCCCTTCAGCTGCTCCTCCATCCGAACCACCACCTGCTCGGCCACCCTCTACCACATCACCACCGCCGCCAACACCACGCCGCAGCAAATCGCCGCCGACTACTCCGTCTCCCCGTCCCAGCTAAAACCCATCGCCCACCTCGACCGCCAGGACCTGCTCGTCACGGTGCCCTGCGCCTGCCAGGGCGTCAACGGGACCGTCGCCTACTTCTACGACACCCACTACGCCGTGAAAACCGGCGACACGTTCGCCACCGTGTCGGCGGAGGTGTACAGCGGCCAGGCCTGGCCGACGGGGGACGAGGCGAGGAGGTTCATCGCCGGGAAGAGCGTGACGATGAACCTGTTGTGCGGGTGTTCGGCCGGCGAGGATGTGGTGACGTACACCGTTCAGGACGGGGATACGTTGTTCGGCGTGGCGACGATGTTGGCGTCCGATGTGAAGGGGATTCAGCGGCTGAATGGCAAGTTGCTGGGGAACTCGAGTGATTTTATTGACGTCGGCGAGGTTCTGTTTGTTCCGGTTACGATCAACAACGGAACTCTGTTGGGTTAAATCTCGTTACGTACTCTGATTTGTTGTACAAGAAATAAAAAGTCTATAGATGATTTCTTGACAAAAGGATCTAATGAATAATAATAGAAATGAGGGTTAATACTAATCAGAGGACTTGTATCTTACCTCTTTTAAGACACTTAATAATTTAAAACATGGCTATAATATTTATGTTGATTATTTTCTCACGTTGTAGGAATGCTCAATTTAGGCCTAACTCGATGTTGCACAACTAAGTCCCTTTGGAACATCTGATCAAATCGGACTTTTGTGGTGTGACAAATGAATTTAATTAATGGATTGTTGGATTCATGGATTAAATTAGATGGATTGGTGGAATTCAAGAAGACGATGACAAAACTCCTCACATAGACCCTAACCACCAAATAAGTCATTCATAATGTTGAGGGGAGCTATGCGGTATCTAGTAATGATTAAGCATTGTGAGGCACAATGAAGCAATCAGAGGTGTTCTCGAACGCAACTAGTGGACCAATGGAAGAAGAAAAAAGTAGTTATCTTCCACAAAATCAATCCATCTCAAACTATTCTCGATGTGCCGTTCGGTTCTTCTCTCAATAAAAAATCTCAAATTGCGAATCCGGATTATAAATTTGCTTCTCCTCATCGCTCATTTCCTTAGACCGACCATTTGCCTTGCTGCTCTTCCTTATAGTCGACCACTAGTTCCTAGCAGCCATAAGTCCATAACTTCCTTGTCGCTCCATCCCTTTGATATGCCCTCTGCCTTACCGCTCTTCGGTGTTGCGACTACTAGTAAGTAGTACCTAGTAGCCACAAACCCACAAGCTTCTCCTTGCCACTCAATTCACTATCGATCCGACCTTCTACCCTGCTGCTCTTTGTTGTCGCTGACTGGCGGCGTACAACACCCACAAGTTGTGAGTCCTAAGTCCTAATTCTCCACTTTATAAATTATCATTCTTCTCATCTTCAACAAAATTTATTTGAAAAAACAAACTAATATGGGACATATTTTGATTCACTGCCTTTTATAAACTTGTGATGCTTGAAAATTGTGACATATT